GTGGTTGCCATGGAGCCTATATTCCCAAAATACCTCTTCAGCTGCAAAAATGGTTTTATATCCACTGCTCCATCTCCTGGGTTAACTGAAACAAGCCCTCACTGGTTATCAGAATCACATGGGTGGGAAATGGTGGGAGTCTTAAGAAATGTCCATACCCTACTTCAGACTAATCCAATCAAGATAGTTTCCTGGTTCAGGGAGAGGTGGTGAGGCCTCAGGTTAGTTGGAGGGGTAGAGCTGGGTCTTCTTTCCTTATCCCACCCCTGCAGGAGACGGAACACGGCTGGTCAGCTGACAATCCCCTACTCTGACATGCCTTCAGAAATGTCTCTGTTTCCTCCACATTTGAGGAAACTTTTGAGAGCAGACATGGCTGAGGTCAGCTGCAGAAACAGGCCCAGAGGGCCAAGTCACTCCAGAAAGTGAGCAGCACTTCAGGGGGGATCTTAGTGTCTCTGCCAACCAAAACAATGCAGGCTCCTCACCCTGACGTGCAAGGTCCAGGCAACCAGCGCAAACCTGACTTCTCTCTTACTTATACCCCCAACACAGCAAAACTGGACGCCTCACTGCTGCCTGTCTATTCCTGAACTTTCTTCATGTTTTCCTTCATGTCTTTGCCTAGGCTATTACTTCCAACTAAAATGTCTTCTCCCTATTCTTCAAATCTACCTGCTCCCTAAGGGACTCCCACCTCACCCTCTCTCCCACCATGATGGGACTCTTCCCTTCTTCATAACTACCACCAAAAACTAAACCCACTGCTGTGAAGTCGATTCCAACTCATAGTGACCCTACAGGACAGAGCAGAACGGCCCCATTGGGTTTCCAAGGCAGTAAATCTTTACAGAAAGCCAACTGCCACCACAGATCTTTCAGTTAGTAGCCAAGAGCTTTAACCACTGTGCCACCCCCCATTTTAGCTGAACACATGGTTCTCTGGAATGAAGTCTACATTTTGCAGCCTCCTTTGTAGCACATGTGGTCACATGACTGAGTTCTGACCAATATGATGAAAACAGAAGCAGTGTGTGTTACTTCCAGGAAGTGTTCTTACAGGCAAAGGGCATTTCCTCCTCTCCCCTTTCTTCTTCCTGCTGGTATAATGGCTGGAATTGCAGCAGCCATCTTAGACTGTGAGGTGACCTTGGGAATGGAAGCCAGACATGGTGAAGCAGCTAGGTGCCTGATACCACGGAACACCATACCAGCCCTGGGCTACCCCCTCCAGACTTGAAGGTGAGAGAAAAGTTACCTTCCTTCTTATTTTAGCCACTGCTGTGTAACTGCCAGCTCAACTTAATGCTACTAAATCCACTCTTGACTTCAAACCAGGGCTTCAGATCAGTTTAGACCAGTTCAATCATGGCCAACGCAATTAGAACAGACCCAAATGTTTAAAATTTGGGTGAAGTAGCACTGTAACCAGAATGCCAAAAACTATGGGTTGAAGCCCTACAGTAAGCCCTTTCATGAGCCTGATGACGGAGACTGGATTATCGCCAGGACTGTAAAAAACACATAGTCAAAGCAGTATGGTTGGCCGCCATCTTTGAGTGGGGCACTGTTGTTTCCAACTCTCCAGACTGGGAGCTCTGGTGGCAGTGCCTAAGGCATTTGACTGCTAACCAGAAGGCTGGTGGTTCAAACCCACCAGTGACTCCTCGGAAGGTAAGTTGGGCAATCTACTTCCATAGTGATACCGTCTCGGAAACCCAAGGAGGGGTCGCTGAGTCGGATACAATTCGACAGCAGTGCACTGCATTGTAGTCAAGAGATTTGGTTGCTAAGCAAGGCACACGCTGTCCTTGTTTACTAAGAGGACATTACGTTTCTAGCACGGTGCTGACCTGTAATTTTTCCTGTTCTGATTATCATTCTGGTGCACCCACATTTTACAAATTCAGATTTGTTCTGGTTTCAATTCCTTGGCCATGACTGTGAAGACTGATTCGAAGCCCTGCTCCAAAGCCCTGGAGGCATGGACTCTGAACTCTTGGGTATATCATACTTGGCTGCATAGAATCACCATTTACTACCTCTTCCCAGTTAAATACTATGAAACCTGAAGGCTGGAGTTAGGCCTTATCCATCTCCATGTTTTCCATCACACTAAGCATGAGACATATATAACACAATGCTTGGCTTCCAACTGGACGCAACTCTTTTTACTAACCTCCAAACAGCTTCCTCATCCATAGCTGTATTTCTAGCATGCTGCTAATCTCCCTGGAATGGTGCACCCTAACTAAATTGTCCCCCTCATCCACCCAGGTTGCCCGCTCCACCAGCCTCCTGAGAGAAACATGCTCTTACCTGGATATCTGAGCCCATAGCACTCTCCTGCGTGGCTGAGTGAGAGCAGTTGCGGAATTTGAACATCCAGTATTCCTTGGCAGTAACAAAGAAGTTCCATGGCAGCAGGGAGCCAATGCCTAGGCTGAAGAAAATGATGTAGGTGCCGTTGAAGCGGTCCTCGGGCCTCTGCAGGCCAGATGGCGGAGGGTCCAGCAGATTCCCCAGCAGTGCCTCCTGGTCAGCTGGTAGAGAGCTACTTCCAGTTCTGTACGTGGAATTTGCACTGCGATGAAACTTGTCCTCTGAGACAATGGCCACTGTTGGAGCAGGAAGAGAAAGAGAACGAGACACATGAGCAGTAGCTGAGGCTAGGGACAGCTGGGACCAGGCCACTTTAGGGTCTGTAAGATCAGCCTGGCTGGGGAGCTTCAGGTTTAAAGAACAGGGAGAAAGACAGAGACTCAGAGAAGGATGGATGTCAGAGCTATATGTGACCTCAGAGGTCATCCCACCCATTCAAGAGCTACTTAGGTAACACGTAAGTGTGGGCAGGTTGGGTGTAAGGTAATGGGGTGTAGGAGGGCCTATGGCAATCAATCCAGAAGGCATTCAAATTTCCAATTAAAAAAAAATAAATAAACCACTGCCATTGAGCCAGTTCTGACTCACAGCAACCCCCATTGGACTTCCAAGGTGGTAAATCTTTATAGAACTAGATTGCCCCATCTTCCTTCTACAGAGCAGCTGGTGGGTTTGAACTGCCAATCTTCTGGTTAGCAGTCAAATGCCTTAGGCACTGCACCACCAAAGCTCCTTCAAATTTCTATGCAGCAGTGAAAAATTAATCAGGACTGTTAATGAGCAGACCAAGAATGATCTCTGAACTCTTTCTCCCTTATATGAGAAAAGCAAAGAGCAGGACAGTGTGGGGAATAAGCTACAATATGCATAAAAAGGCAAGGGCTGGGAGAACCCAAGCACCCTTTATTTGTATACGCAGAGAATATCTCCAGAAGAAGACACTAGAAATTTCCAACAAGCGGTTGCCCTTGAGGTAGGGTCTGGGGATAGCAAGAGTGGGGACTTCAATGCACAATTTCTACCTTTTGAATTTGAGCCACATGAATGTATTATCTGTTCAAAAAATAAAATTGAAATTATCAATAAAAATAAAAATGATGGCATTCAACTAAATAATAATTTAAAACACATTTAGTGTCGAGAGCTGCTTCCAGAAGGCCGGCTTGTGCCCTGTGATAGTCCACTTCCTCATTTCATCTGTAGGGAAACAGGTCCAAAGAGCAGAAGATCACAGGGAAATAAATGGCCAAGTATGGGTTGCAGCTCCTGCTTGGGTCCCTGCCTCAGTTCATCACATCAGGAGACAGTCACTCCCAACCTGTGATGGCACCTGAGACAAATGGAAGATTCTCAGGTGCCAATAACTACTGCCAACATGACCTTGGGTGATGCATCATGCTTCTGGGCCTTGGTTTCCCACAGGTAAACTGCCACCCATCTGTCAGGCTGTCATACTCTAGTAGCTTGCATGCTGCTATGATGCTAGAAGTTATGCCACTGGTATCTCAAATAGCAGCAAAGTCACTCATGGTGGACAGGTTTCAGCAGAGCTTCCACACTGATAGTGACCAGCAAGTAAGGCCTGGTGATCTACTTCTGAAAATCAGTCAATGAAAACTGGATAAATCTCAATAGAATACGGCCTAATATAGTGCTAGAAGATGAGCCCCTTAGGTTGGAAAACACTCAAAGTACAGAGTAGCCTCAACAAATGGACATGAGTACACGAATGACAGTGAAGACAATTCTATAATGGAGTCAAACATACTAACCATAGTGAAGACAGTTCAACAGTGGAGTTGAACATACCAACAACAGGGAAGGTAATTCAACAACATAGTTGAACACACCAATGAGAATGAAGATAGCTCATCAATGGAATCGAATATACCAGTGGTCATGAAGACGACTCACGACCAGACAACATTTTGTTCTGTTGTACATGGGGTTGCCACAATTCAGAACAGTCTCAGTGGCAACTAACAACAACGAAAACCCAAAGAAGCCTATTTACAACTGTCACACAACTGCAAATGGCTGGCGAGGCCTGGTCCACGGTAGCAGCTGTTGAACAAACGTCAACATCTTCCTCAGCATCCTGGCCTGTCACCAGGCTGGCTGGCTGAATTTGGCAGCAAGGTAGCATGCCTACTTCTATGCTCTATGTAGCACCCAGAATGTGGCAGAAGCTTGATAAACAGGAATGCCAAGGATGGGACACTCTGTAGTTTCCTCTCCATAAGCTTCCTTCTTACTCAGTAAATCAATAAACACACACACCACAGCTCACATAGGAGGCTGAGTCTCAACCCCGAGCATTAAGCTGGGCAAAAACCAAACCAAACCAAACTCACTGCCGTGGAGTCAGATCCGACTCATAGTGACCCCTCCCTGGGTTTCTGAGGCAGTATCACTATGGAAGTAGATTGCCCAACCTTCCTTCCGAGGAGTGGCTGGTGGGTTTGAACCGCCAGCCTTCTGGTTAGCAGTCAAATGCCTTAGGCACTACACACCAGAGCTCCTCCATTAAGCTGGGGAGAGTGGGGTTTTTCTCCTCTGCTGAGATGGGAACACCCTCACATGGGCACAGAGTTCTGTCCACTATCTCAGGAAAGCCTCATGATAGCCCTTGGAATTAGACAAGGCAGGAATTATTGTCCCCTTTTGGTATATGCAAAGAGCCCTGGTGGTGCTGTGGTTAAAGTACTCAGCTGCCAACCAGAGGTCAGCAGTTCGAACCCACAAGCTGCTTCACAGGAGGAAGATGTGGCAGTCTGCTTCCATAAAGATGACAGCCTTGGGAACACTATGGGGCAGTTCAATCCTTTCTTATTGGGTCCCTATGAGTGGGAATTGATTTGGCGGCAACAGGTTTTGATAGACGCAAAGACTGAAGTCTTGAAGGCACCTGATTTGTCCCACATTCATCCAGTAGGTGTTACCAATCGCTCAAATGAAACCCAGCACTCACACATATCAAGGTCTATGGCTAGCACTTGGGTCTGACAACAGCCTACTTTGGTAGGTACAACCCTAAGACCCATGTCACAGACGAGGGGTCTGAGGCCCAGAAAGGTGAGTAACCTGCCCAAGGTCACACAGCTGCTAGATGGCAAGACTGAAATTCGATAACCAAGCAGTCTAAGGCCCACACCAGATTTCTTGGCCTCTCTGGGATTCTAGATGCGATGAGCTGGGAATCTGAACCCTCACCTTCTGGCTCCCAGCACAGGCCGCCTTCTGAAGGCCTCACAGCCAGTGAGCAGTGAGCAGAGACAAAGGCAGCGCTACAGCGGCTCCCAGTCACCACTGTGTGCTGAATAGATGGACACTGCATGGCCAGGTGGAAGCTCTGGTAGCATAGTGGCTAAGACACTTGCCTGCTAACCAGACGGCTGGCGGTTCAAACCCACCAGCCACTCCTCCGAAGGAAGGTTGGGCAATCCTACTTCCGTAGTGATACTGCCTCGGAAACCCAAGGAGGGGTCGCTATGAGTCGGGTTTGACTTGACGGCACATAACAACAACAACAACAGCATGGCCAGGCTAGCCTCCCCTGCTGGGGCAGTGTGTACCCAGGAGCAGGCAGGCAGGAGGCTGCCGGATGCCCAGGCCTGAGTATCCCAGTCAGCAAGTCTATTTTAAACTCCCCTGTTTGAGCACAGTCCTTCCTCAACTTTAGCTCACAGGGAGTCCAGCTCTCACTAACAGATAACACACACACACACACACACACACACACACGTTTAACTCAGTCACTTGAAATGTGAAAAACAATTCTGATCCATGCAGGACAACAGCGTGGGCCAGTGGTTCTTCCCAGATGCTCCGCCTACAGGAGTGGGTGTGGGGCCCAGTGCTAGCCACTTGGCACTACCCTTGGCCAGGGCCCATTCTCAGCTCCTAATGTCTATTTGTCAACGACCATTCAGGCTTGACCGAGCTTCTGAAGAAGAGCCAGGAATTTTCTCTAACCTGGGTCACAAGCCAGGGCATTGGAGTGAGGAAAACCTTATTACTCTTTATAAAAAGCTAGCTGCTGGGTTTGGGATTAAAAATCAAAAAAAGAAAAAGTAAGGAGGAGCCCCAGCTTTCTCCAGGACAGGCTGGCTGGGACCTGGTATATGTTCCTCAAAGTACCTGCAGAAGCTGCCAGCTTGGCTTTGCTTCCTTGCTCCCTCCCTGGGTGGCTCAGGAGCAAGGGGCAGCCCCTGCAAGAGGCAGATGCTTATGGGACCCCAGGCCAGGGCAGAACCCCATCTGGGCTGGGAAGGCTGCGTGCTGGTTCCAAGGCAGTCTCTGACTGGCTAAGTCAATCTCCTCTCCCTGTCTCAATTTCCTTATCTGTGAAACGGTAATGGGAGGTTAACCTATGGAAAAGCATGTTGGGAAGCACAGGGCGCCACCCACAGGCCAGGTCAGAATCCACTGTGGGGTTGTGCACACTCGCAGCCCAAGAAGTCCCAATTTGGACAAAGTAGGTAGGCCACCTTCTGGATGTTTCGGGCTGACTAGTCCATACCCTGGCCCCCCACATCAAGGCGGTGAGATCCCGTCTCAGGAAACTCACAGGGAGGAGGAGGTGAAGAGAGAACCTGGGGAAAGAAAATGGAGACCCTGAGAGGCAGAGTGAGCGGCAGAGCTGGGGTAGGTACAGAGAGAGGGATGAAGAGGAATCCCAAATCGGAGGGGCCCGGGAGGCTTCGGACTCCCGTCCGACCCCCGCAGCAGCGCTCCGAAGAGCCCGGGAGCGCGGTTGTTGCGAGTGCGAGCCCAAGGAGCGGCCAGGAGCCAGAAAAGGGGTCGGTGGGGCCAGGTCGGGCGCCCTCCACGGGCCGGAGCCCTTCGCCCGCCCGCCAGCCCACACTTACTGTTGCCAAGCCGCCGCCGCCGCCTCCCTGGCCCGCGGCCACTGCGACTGGGGGCTTCGGCCGGGCCGCAGGCCCGGCTCCTCCTCCCGGCCCGCCCCGGCAGTCTGCCCCGCCCCGGGCCGCCTCGTGGGCGCTTCCCGTTTGCAAACTCTTGCTTTTGTCTGCTCCCTACGCTCGGGTTCCAGGCCTGGGCTGGGGACAGTCGCACGTTATCACAGGTGGAGAAAATGAGGTGCTGAGCTGTGAAATGAACTGCCCAAGGTCGCCTTGGAGTGTGCGGTGAGCCAGGTCACCGGCTGTCGCGCCTCTCCACCCCGCTTTGGACCAGAACCTATTGTCTCAGACCTCACCGGCTCCCAGAGCCAAAGCAGTGGCCCCAGAACCTAGAAGAGCGCTCCACCTCGCCCTAGATCCCTCAGAGGTTCCTCTCAAAATTCAGCCCCCATACCTCCCTGCTGCCCCTCCTGATCCCCACCCCACCCCCATCCCCAGAGCCCACATCTGGCCCCAGCCACCCAGTCTTTGCTCCCAGATCCAAGCCAGCACCTTCTGTCACAGACTTCAAGAGGCTTCCCGCACCGCTGGGGTCTTCGTTGGGTCCAGAGAACACAGATAAGAGGAGGTGGTGAAGGGGAGGACTCAGGACCACCTCCACTGCACCATCCCCCTCCCACCAGCCACCAGACCTTCATTTCTGAATTATGGACCAAGGGGGCCACCTTCATCCAGCCCTCCCTTTAGGCTGTGCCCTTTATATCCCCTGTCTCATTAACTGTCACCTAGTCCCCTTTACGGGAGTTCTGGTAGCATAGTGGCTAAGGCACTTGACTGCTAACCAGAAGGCTGGTGGTTCAAACCCACCAGGCGCTCCTCGGAAGGAAGATGAGGCAATCTACTTCTGTAGTGATACTGCCTGGGAAACCCAAGGAGGGGTCGCTATGAGTCAACGGCACATAACAACAACAATAACAAGTCCCCTTTACATGGGGACACCATGGTGGAGCTGCAGTGTAAGGCCAGATCTGATGCTGAAAGCCCTGCCCTGCCCTGTGGGGGTGTGTTTTAGGCGGGGTACTCTCTGGGCAGATCAAAGGGCAGCTTGGTTCATGGTGAGGCTCAGCTATCTGCTCATTAAGCAGACCTACTGGGTGCTGGGCCTACAATGGACCCAAAGCTGCAAAAAGCCTTGCTGCACAGACAGGCGAGCAAACACAGCACACGTAGGCAGCACTGCAGAAGTGTACCAGGTGCAGTGGGGCATCAGGTGGGTGGGTGACGGACAGCGGCAGGCGCTCTGCCTCTGCTAATTCCTTCACCCTCATTGCAGTCTATGTCCTTATTATCCCTATTCTATAGAGCAAAAGTCCAAGGCTCTGTAAAGTTATATAGCTAGCCAAAGGCCGAACAGTGAAGGAGCCTGGCTTTGACCCCAGGCTTGTCTGACAATTTTCCATTGTTATCTGTTCCTTCAGTGGCCCCTCCTTAGAGCCTGGAGGTAAGGAAGGAGGAGTGGATGGAGAGAGAGAGGTTTCTCAGAAGAGGTGACCCTGAGTTGAATACTAAAGGTTGCATTTGCCCCGCTGAGAAGATAATGATTGAGATTCTGTCCCAGGAGGAGAAAGTGGCTGAAGCAAAGGCCTGGAGGTGTGAGAACCATGGCCTGTCTGTGGAGGAAGCTGTAAGACAGCAAGCAAGCCCGGGGCCAGATTGGACGGCCCCTGAGAGCCAGACTGGGCATTTGGATGTCACCCTGAAGGCTCAGGGTGATGGACTAGAGGCCAGAGCCCCTTGGCTGCAAGATCTGACTTATATGTCCAGCAGTGACCTGTGAGAAACAGAACAGCATTTGCAAAGTTCTTATTTTGCATCTTACTCCATTTAAGCCTAAACCTACCAGCTTTCATCCTTGGGGGAGGGGTCCCCCAACTGAGCTCATTGCAGTTGCACTACCCCAGCACAGAATATCTGAGCCTTACCTGGAAGCTGGTGCCATAATGGTTATGCACTCAGCTAGTACCTAAAAGGTTAGTGGTTCGAACCCAGCCAGCAGCTCCACAGGAGAAAGATCTAGCTGTCTACTCCTGTAAAGATTATAGCCCAGGAAACCTACCGTGTAGTTGGAGTGGACTTGACGGCTCCCAATAACAGCACCTGGAATCTGGGGAAGAGGTGAGCAGGAGGAGGGAGCTGCCGGGGCTCTGGACCCTATTTAGGAGGGATTTGGGGCAGTATCTGCTTTTTGGTATCTGCCTAAGGCACTTGACTGCTAACCAGAAGGCTGGCGGTTCAAACCTACCAGCCACTCCTCGGAAGGAAGGTTGGGCAATCCTACTTCCGTAGTGATACTGCCTCGGAAACCCAAGGAGGGGTTGCTATGAGTCGGGCAGACTAGACGGCAAATAACAACAACAACTGCTTTTTGGGGGAGGGTAGGAGACTTGTGTGGAATCTGACCCCCTGCTCAGCAAGCTTGCAGTTTCCATTTTGATTGTGTTACGTGCAGATCATCATGACCAGCCGCGTTTCCTAAGACACTTATTCACACTTTCCATATGGCTGAGAAAATGTCCACTGTCACAGAGAACCCAAAGAGGAGGCATTGAGCTGAGGCATGATGACAGGGGCTGAAGATCCTCCCCAGATGCTGCCACTGAGAGGGAGGGGGGAAGGAGGAAGAATCTAGCAAAGGGAGGAGGGAGCCATCAGGCCAGAGGCAGACTCTTTGGGGCCTGGGAAGGTGTTAGTGCTCCCATCCTAGGCCCTGTCCGCTTTCTTCTCAGAGTCCCACAGATGCCCCTTCAAAGCTCAGGGAGGTCAGGCAACTCCATAAGGGTGGCTCAGCTCTAAAGGTAGAGTAGGACCCACCCCCAGGCTGACTCATGGCCTCCTATGGCTGGGAAGATGTTTTCAGGTGACCTAGAACTTGGCTTGAAGCACCACCAGTAGGCCAACCCTTGCACCTTGACCTCAGATCCCCTCCTGTAGGTGTGCTCCCTGGTGAAGGGGAAGCTTCCTGACCCCAGGATCCCAGCAGCTCGACCAGTTCAGAGCAGGGATCTGGCTCCCTGTCCCAGACTCTGGCCTGAATATTAAAAGTCCCTGGGTGGGCACTTACCCAGATTCTGGGCCTTCCCTAGAGGCCGTGCTCCTCTGTCCTCCTGCTCCCCAAGGGCTAGACTTTTATCTGCCTTGTTTTCTGCTGCATACTCAGTGCTGAGCACATAAAAAGTGCTCAGTTAGTACACAATGAATAAATGTGATCAGTAATTCAGAGGGCTTGAGTGAGGCTCAGAAATCCATATATTGAACTCTCTGGTAGCATAGTGGCTAAGACACTTGCCTGCTAACCAGACGGCTGGCGGTTCAAACCCACCAGCCACTCCTCGGAAGGAAGGTTGGGCAATCCTACTTCTGTAGTGATACTGCCTCGGAGACGCAAGGAGGGGTCGCTATGAGTTGGGTTTGA